AAGTTTGCCTTGGTGACAGACCGAATGAACTTCGTCACTCGACCTTGAGAAGTTGTCCAACTTTGACGGCTTATTAACCCAGTCTCACCGTGTGTTCAGGTGCCAAAGCGGAGAATATCATTTCAGTGGATGAGCGTGTCGTTTCTACTCACAGGCTTTGAGAAACATCGCGGATTTGACGCCTTCGAGACGACCTTGAAGATAGCAAGAACGACGAAGTCTTTTTGCTCTCATATGGCTCTTGTAGATATTGGGCTCTTGTACCTAGGTCGTACATGAAAACGAGGCCTCGTTGTGTGCTGTTCCTTGATCAATGGCGCGGCCGAAACGAGCTAGTTTGAATCGTCGAAAGCGACGGGCGAATGCTTCATCGGGCGAAACGCACGTAAACGGCCGACGACATTAATCGCTCAGCCTAGACGAGCGCTCGACCAATATACGGGCACCAAGGTGACCGGGGCAGGAGCCCCATCATTCATATGCATTTCGTCTGATTCTGATGCTTCAGATGGGTCGTAATCTCCGGCAGGGCCACGAACTATCGGGGCTTGTCGGGAAAGTGTGGATCAAGACGATGTAGCATTCACGAGAGATCCTAAAGTCTCTCAACTATGGCAACGCGCCACTGCTCGTTTCAAAAGTACATTCATTTCAGGGGTGTGATACCGCCTGAACAACACGGATTTAGGCGTGGAAAGTCGACGATCTCAGCTTGCGAGGCCCTCTTACAGGATATCGACGCCAGGACGAAGACGAAGGACAGACCGTTGTATGCTGTTTTTGTGGATTATAAGTCAGCTTTCGACGTTGCCCCAAGATCAACGATTATCGAGAAGCTTGCCACCGTCGGCGTCGCCGGAAGGATGCTGAAACTGATCGCCCAGATTCTACAGGGAGGGGAGGTGTCGATAGAAGATGGACTTGGCATACTACCGTCAATCAAACAAACGAATGGAGTAGCCCAGGGTGATAACCTCTCCCCCTTATTGTTCTCGGTCCTTCTTAGTGACCTCCCCGACACGACAAAGAAAAAGACACGACATTGTACATACCATCCTGTTCGCGGGCGACGCGGTCCTTTACTCGCGGGCCCGAAGCTATCTACAGAGAGCTATGGACACACTCGGGACATACTCCGCCGAAAATGGAATGAAGATCAACACGAGCAAAACGAAAGTCGTGAAATTCGGAACCGGAAGTCCCCCGGCCAAGGGAGACATTTTCAAATTGTACAAGGAAAAGATACAGATCGTCGATAACTTCTGCTATCTCGGAATCGAGCTCTCGCGACGGGGAGTGTCCCCGACCAAGCATGTCGACGAGAGGGTACGGAGAGCAAAACAAGCCCTCGCCTCGATACCGTGTCCATGGAAGCTATCCCTTAAGACAGCTCTAACATTATTCGACCTGAAAATTGCTCCAATTGCCTCTTATGGCATCCAAGTGGTATGGAGTCACCTGACGACGAAACACCTCGAGAAGTTTGACAAGCTTAAGGCAAGCTACCTGAAACTTGCTCTGGGCGTGCACAGATCATCGCGAAACAGGCAGGTATACTGCCTAGCCGGCACCACCCCGATGTCGGAGGACCTCAGAGCGAAGTTTAGACTCGAGCGGACGAACGAGTTCGACAAACACGCCGGAAACTGGACCAGGAAGAACTCCGAGATCCACGATGCCTTGTACGAAACACCCGGTATGAGAACCAATTGGTGGAAAGGGCCGAAATGCAGAGAGCGCCACCGCTTCACGAGAGGAGCCATACACGGTTACCACCACCTTTTATGCACCAAGCTCGGATATCACGAGGCATACGATGGCTGCCTCTGCAGACTCTGTGGACGGAAATGCGAAGAATACCATCTGTACAGCTGCTCGGAAAAGGAAACTTCAACTGGGAGGAGATAGAAATGGAAGAACGCACATGAACATGTGATACTCGTATCCACGAAGTGCTGTGTATACGATGCCATTGTACATTTTACACATCTCTCAACACACCATCTAACTGGTAATAAACGCATTCAATACGAAAGTACATTCATGGACAATGAGTTCGGTCATACTTGCGACGTATGCGATCGTTTATGGTTCGAGCGCGAATTGAAGTGTATCCCCTCAGATAGCGATGTTTTTGAAAGACATCTTCCCAGACCATGTGAGGAGAGAGTTCAGATTATGCTCCAATTGTTTGAAGGTTTGTCGAACTAATAAGGTTCCTTCCATGAGTAAGAGTAACGGGTATACGTACCCGGATGTTCCCACGAATCTACCTAAACTCGACCCAATCACCGAAAGACTCATTTCTCCGCGTATCCCATTCATGCAGATTCGTCGCCTTCGCCACGAAGGCTCTTATGGCATTGTTGGTCAGATTTTCAATGTGCCGGTCGATGTCGATACTATGGTGCGGTGTTTGCCGCGGTCTCTTGATGATGACTATGCATATACTTCGGCGTCGCCCGTCAAATCAATGCGAATAACGGGACGCGTTCCAGTGCCTACACTATGTGCATGTCGGAAATTTGACGGAGGGACCGTCGCGGAGCGACGCCTCAGCATGTGCTCTACATGGCCATGAAAATTCACCGCCTTCGGGTCCGAGACGGTATTCAAAACATGTATCGCTGTTTGAGGACAACCGAAAGGATAACACGGGAAATGATAGAGAGCAGGGAGTTTGTCGAACGATTGATTGATACGAATCAGGCTTTTCTAAAAACGATTCCCAATTCAGTGCAGTATTGGGCTGCCCGAAAGAAAGACTGTTCGCAATGATCCGTCAACTTGGTAAACCGACGGCGTTCCTCACCATTAGTGAGAACGAAACACATTGGCCGAATCTGTTGCGTATTCTTCACGGCCTTTGCGAAGAATACAAAGATATCGAGAAACACGAGATGGAGGATGTTTTCGAAAAGCTCGACATAGGTAAGCGAGCTCATCTAGTGGCTGAAGATCCGGTCACCTGCGCAATTTATTTCCACAAGTTGGTGAACGCAATCATGGCGATTATCAGTGCCGAAAAGACATATAATCCGTTCGGGGAATATCGTGTCATCGAGTACTTCCTTCGTATAGAGTCTCAGCATCGTGGTAGTCCCCATGCGCACATCCTTCTTTGGTTAGAGAATGATCCGGCCGAGGAATTGTCCGATTCTATGCCGAATCAAAACGAAGAATCAAACTCACGCGCACACAATCACTTGCACGAAAAGAGGTGAGCAACACTACCGCTTCAATATACCATATCGGCCGATGTACGAAACAAGGGTTTTGCTGCCGTTGGAGCTGTGGTCCGGATCAGAAGGCATCAGTCAGGAATTCGAGGAGCATGTTTTCGGCGGCGGCGTTTAATAAATCAGTAATAAAAAGCAGTCAGAGGAATCTCTTTTGCTTCGAAGAAATCTTCGAAAACTTTATGGACAGTTTCGCCTTTCGTATCTGTGGTCAGTTTCCTTGCGAAAAGAAGTTCTTCGCAGATCTTCTGATCCAAGACAAACCGTACGTAGGCGAGTAGGAGAGACGAATTATCGGGCAAAGTCGATTCATCCAACTGTACGGAGAATTGGGAGGTTCTCAGGTGTTCACACAGCGTCTCCTCCACGTCATCACTCATTTCGTCGAATCGGCGCTGCACAGTGCTATTGCTCAATGCGATCTTATCAATCGCGCTGTGAGTATTGACGCGAAGTACGGTTTTGAGGACTTCTCTGATCGCCGGCAGAATCAGAGTCTCTCCTATGCTGTGAGGTTTTCCTGACTGCGCAATGAGCAGCGACAAGTTGTACGACGCTGTGAGACCATCATTTTGTCTTTCCGCATGCCCCGAAAATAAGTCGGGGAGCGTCAGTCTCTTCTCAGCTTTGTCCTTCGAGGCCAAGAAAAAATCAAGCGGTTTCAACGCGGACTCCGGTTGGCAGACTTGTAAATGCTTCTTGAGCTTGTTTGGCCTCATTGAGTCATTGGTCAGAACTCTTTCACACACAAGGCACATCGGTGAGCGTTTATCGGATGGCGACGGGATGAAACCGAATTCCAAGTACTCCACACTGTTTTGGCGACACTTTCTTATCGCGACTGCCATTTTGATAGAAGAAAGCAGGAATTCTTCGCTGCATACGCTGAGCCGAGGCAAGGAGCGGAGGAAAAAAAGGATCTACGCGCACGTTTCGGCAAACGCGCCTCGATATGAAGACATCTATTTTATCCTAGAGATTATGTCAACAAACTCTTAGGAATTTACAATGCCACAAAGGTACGTCATTTCTCACAAATCGATATATCGCTGTCGCCCGCGTGTGTTTCTTGAAGGAGTGAGTCGTCTGTCAGGAGAATAGGCTTTTCTTCCTCTTCTCTTTCGAGACTAATCGGACTCGTCGCGGACTTTTAACACCTAGAGTGCCGCGGAGGACGCCGGCGTCCCTCATCATGATACTGTTTAACCCACCCCAGAAGGCCCGAGAGCTGAAGAAGCCTCCCTCCGCCCGTCTCGATTGACTTCGCTTGCCCTCGCTCCCTACCAGATGCAATGGTTTCCCGGGGCAAGGCGTACAATTGCCACGATCGCCAATGATATTAGCGCGTGCGTCGCTTGCAGCCGTGCGCCATGATGGCATCGCCATCGTCAGAGAGGTCTCGAGTTCAATCCCCGAGACCGACCAAAATTCCTCGCTCCCAAATTTGGAAGTGAGGTGCAAGTATAAGTCGGCATTCAGGGTGGATCGAGGGAGCAATAGCGTTCATAGTATACCCTATCCCGCAGCTACCGTGGTATTGGCGAGGAAAATTGTATCGCCAATGTGAATGTAATATGTACATAGGTACATGACTCTGCCCAACGGCGGGCAGAATCTGGAATTCAAATATTCTAACGGCTCGGAGTTGCGGACGACGGTGACGCCGACACGCGCCTTCAGAGGAAGATGATGTGCTGCTGAGAGGACACATTTATCCGTGTTGTGGATACGCCTTGATTTAGGCCCAGCATCTTTAGAGGAATGGCGCCTGCAGAACGTTCGCGGAGAACTCCAAGGAGACCCAAAAATCTGGCCACGAGAGATGAGAACGAACACGACTCCACCAATACGGGCCATGGAAGTGAAGAAGAGTTCCTGAGTTCCGCTTCAACAGTCTCCCCTGGGGTAGAACTTGAGGACAGTGACCAAACTGAAGTCGAATCCTGCGCTTCGTTCGCGAGCGGTCAACGACCAGCCGCGGCGTCGAGGGCGGCACCTGACTGCAGCTGGTTCGATTTCGACAAGAAACTTCTGAGAAACATCGGCTTTCCTGGCGATGAAAGTATTAGGCCTCAATCATCGTATCTTGGCGATCCACAGAACTTGCGGCCGGCTCAAGTTTACAGAGATTTCTTCGATAAAGATCTGGTGAGAATGATTGTCGCTGAAACCAACCGCAACGCTAAAAATTACATCGATGCAAACACGATTGGGAGAAGTAGCAGAGCTCAGCGGTGGGAAGACACCTCTTCTGATGAAATTGAGAAATTCTTCGGCATTGTCCTGTACATGGGTCTGGTCCCTTATCCAAGCATCCCTGACTATTGGAGCACGAATGACTTATATGGCAACAGAATCGTGGCTACCACCATGAGCAGGAACAGGTTCCAACTGCTCCTGCGCTTTGTGCATTTCTCGAACAATCAAAAGGAGAATGCCTCCGGAAGATCGAGCAAGTTCATCAGAGTTCTGGAGGCTTTGCAAGATAAATTCTGCCTTGCATACACGCCCGGGGATATGCTTGTCGTCGACGAAACCATGGTCCCCTTCAGGGGCCGCTTGTCATTCCGTCAATACATCCCCGGGAAGAGCCACAAGTACGGGATCAAGATATTCAAGCTATGCAACAAGGACGGATATACTTTCCGTACGAAGGTTTACACCGGTGCAGAGGGGGTTCGCTCAAGAGCTCTCCCGTCGGACATTGTAATTGAGCTCTCGGAGCCATTTCTCGATGACGGTTGGACTCTGGTGACCGACAACTACTTCACTTCAGTCCCTCTTGCGAAGGAGCTACTCGGAAGACACACCAACCTACTAGGTACGTTGCGTAGGCACAGGAAGTTCCTTCCACAAAACGTCGTGACGGCCCGCTTAGATCGGAACCAGCTAACAGGAAGAATCTCTCGCGACGGGATCGTTGTGGGCAAGTGGAAAGACAAGCGAGACGTCTTATTTCTCTCCACTAAACACGATCTGCGAATGGCGAGTTCAGGAAGGAGGGTTGCGAAAAAGGACGGCGTTCAGAAAGTCAAGCCCCTGGCGGTCATCGAATACAATAAGGCCAAGCAAGGCGTCGACATCTCAGATCAGTTAGCGAGTTTCTACTCCCCATTGAGAAAGACTATTCGATGGTACCATAAAGTCGTATTCGAGCTACTTCTGAACACCGCGGTGGTGAATTCCCGCATCATATTCAATAAGCTCACAGGGAGGGCTATGTCTATGAAGACTTTCCGAGCGGCAATAGTCGAGGACTTTCTCCAAATCGATTCAGACTCGAGCACACCGAAGCCGAGCTCTCAGGAGTCGAGGGAAAATCATGGACAGAACTCGAATAGAATTCACTCTCTCATCACCTCTGAAAGAAAAGATATGAGAGGGAGGAAGATCAGAGGAAAATGCCAGGATTGTTATTCACGATTATCGACTTCTCGAGGCAGAATTTCAGCGCAGAATACAGTGAAAAAAGTCAATACCCGTTGCCAAGAATGTCAGAGATGGTTGTGCGTGCCCTGTTTCACAAAATCGCATCAGGAGCGAAGGTGAATGAGCTCTATCTGTTTCTTTAATTCCGTGCAATAAAAGGCCTATGTGGTCGTGTCCATGCGAATTATGATCATTGACTCGCTGTTCAAGTCCGAACTGCCTCAAGGGACGCCGCGGCGTCCCTCTGATGCCTCGAGGGACGCTACTCGGCGTCCCTCGGAAGCCTTTAGGGAAGCCGGCGTCCCCTTATACCTCACTATGGTGGCCTCGCCAAGGTCTCTCAGAGTGTTCCATCGGTGGCACTCAAAATGTTAAGTTCCTCGGGCATTCCATTAGCTCGGCCAGACCATTTGGACAAGCTGCATCAGGCTTGAATCCGTGTATGAGGTGGTCCTCGGTACCGTCGATAGCGTTCGATATCCCGCAAGCCATGAAGGTTTTCGCGATTATCTCGAGTCAGTCGCGACCAGGAGTCGACGATACATTTTAGCTACACGTCCATCGGCGGAGCTCGCATATTACCTTCGGGAGTGTACGATTTTTCTCCATGTAGCAACCAGTCTTCGTACTGTTCTTCGATTCTCTGTTTGAAAGGTTTGTTCCAATTGACGTCCGGGGCTTGAACGAATTAAGTGCAACCTCCGAGCACAACAACGGAATCGACGCGCAGATTTCTTAGCTCATCGGGTGAGATGAGCGCGAAACGCATCCCCTTCATTCGGAATGTAATGGTTTCATCGTTCAATGCGATCGGCGAATCGCTCTCCGAGTCGTCTGCGTTTCGCATACTCTGATTCCGGGGGGCTTGTATTGGAAAGGGACGGGCTCCTATATTTTTGAACCGTCGGAGGGGTGGGGCTTGTAATGGAGAGGGGCTACTAATAGGTAGCGGGCTTTTCTTGGGTATTTTACGGTGAGCCTTATGAGCGATTTCCGATACCGGGCTTTGACAGCTCTGATGATGCCGAGATCTGATGGTTGAAGAAAAGAAGTACAATTTGGGGGAAATATGCGACTCGAATGTTCGTCAACCGTGGCAGAACACTATGAGCGGAACAGTCATCAAGAAGCAAGAGGACGTTCCTCTTCTCCGTTTTCATTTGTCGTTCAAACTTCAACAACCGCTCACTGAAGAGCTCGCGCGTCATCTAAGCTCGTTTGTTCCCCCGGTACAGACATCGCAGAGATCTTACATTTTTCAAGCGACGTGGCTTCGCTGATTCCCCTATGACGAACAGCTTCCTCTTATCAGTACCGCTTGCATTACAACAAAGCAAGGCAGTCAGTCTGACTTTCGACTTCTTCCCTCCGGCACAAGTCTCTCCCCTCACAGTCAAAGAACGTTCCGGCAGCAATTGGAAGAACAGGCCAGTTTCGTCCGCGTTGTAGACATCATCAGGGTTATACTCGGCGATGATCTGCTTTACCGCGCCTCGTCTCCAATCATCGGCCTTGTCACTCGGAGCATCTGCAGATTCCCCACAAAGGAGTCTGGCTCGTACTCCAAAACGTTCATGGAAACGGGCCAACCAACCTTCGCTCGCTCCGAAAGAATCATGTCGGAGAGCCACGCGTACTGTAAGGCTTTTTCACGTAAGAGTGGTCCTGACACCAGGGTATTCTTCGATCGAACGTCTTGAAGCCAGATGTGCGTCACTGCGTCGATATCCTCATGTTTGACGGTCCTCAGTCTTCTTCTTTTCGGATCGAACGCCGAACTTCTAGCCCGATCCTGAATCTTCTGAGCGTCTTTGATGAAAGTCGACAGAGTCGATCGGCTGATTCCGTACTTCTCAGCGATATCGGTTTTCTTCCGGCCAGAGTTGACTTCCTCCAGAATCTGCGACTTCTCTTCGAACGAGAACTGTTTCCGTCGCTTGCGCGTATCCGAAGCCATGTTCTTGACTAGGATGGCGTTTCACGGGTACACGTCAAGCTATCTGCACAGGGGAGCCGAGAACCAATGTGAAACTACGCTTCTTCCGAACGGATTTGCCGTCGCTGACACAATGCGGCCGGTGATGCACTCGATGTGTCGAATATTCGAACGCGCCGACCGAATGTTCGACATTCGCTCGATGCGCGACGTGGCGATCGACTCAGATTTCGTTGAAACGAGGCTTTCGGACAAAGAGTAGTGCTCTTCGCATTCGTTGTAAGTTACAACGAATTCGACGATGCCGAGTAACGAGAATTTCGTTGTGAGGAATTTCGTTATAAGGAGCATCTTTTAAGGTTAATACTGAGGCGGGTAGAACAAAATATTATTATTTGTTCGTTGTATCGAAAATTCGTTAGAACGGGTGTCGTTGTAACGAGCTTTTACTGTATAGTGCACTGGCCGCAGCCGCCCTCCCCGAGACCTCAGCAGTTTCAGAAGACGTCTACTTGGGACTTTTTGAGCGCGAGCTGTTGAGCTCGTGAATCGTGAAGGTCCACAGCTCCACCACGTTACGTTATTCTCTCGTCGCTCGGCGCCGCTGACTTCTTGCAGACGACGGCCGGCGACGTCTGCCGGTCAGGAAAGAAGGCTTCGGCTCATTTATTTATCCATGTCCAGTTTCAATCCGTCATACGACATCGCCTGCACGCAGGCAGCGCGATTCGTTAATAAACGGCGCGCAGACTTGGCATGCTCATGCCTCGAGTGGCCGGAGCGCAGGAAGGCCGGCGCCGACTACTGGCGACGGTCGCGGAGTCTGCCGCTATGTATGCGGCGCCCGCCCGGGCGCCATGGGCGCTTGCCACCATGAAGGGGAGGATGGCCTCGCGAATGGCCCAGAGATCGTTAGCGCTCCGGGTGAGCCGTACGTATTGCACGGTCTCCACGGATGCTGCTCTCGTGCTCGCAAGGATTGTCTCTTGGGACCGACTGGCCTGGGAGAGGACTGCTGGGGGGAATTGGCGGAAGCCGGGAGACCGCGAGGGAGGGAACTTTTCGGGTTTGGCAGGAAGACTGGGATAAGGCAAGGGATTGGAATTCGAAAGGGAAGTGGACGAGGGAGCTAATCCCGGATATCGGAGGTTGGGTCGAATGTGAGCGTGGGGGGTTGAATTACAGGACAACGCAGGTCCTAACGGGGCATGGCCTGTTCCAGACACTCATGATGGAAATCGGGCGAGCGGATTTTGACACATGTGTCCTCTGCGACTCGGGGGAGTCCGACGGAGTTGAGCACACCGTGTTTCGCTGCGCCGTCCTCCGGGAAGTCAGGGGAGATGGGATGATGGGTTTCGATGGGCCAGGACTAAGGGAAATGGTCTAGTTCGGTCTGAGGGGTGCGGAGGAATGGGAGAGGGTTTCGGGGTTCTTGGATCGGGTCATGACGGGGAAGACAGCGATTGAAGATGCGAGGAGGGCGACTTTACGACGGCAGGTCGTGGCGGGGGATGCCGCGGAACTGACGAGACGGAACGGAACGACGGACTCTCATGGACAATAGGGCTGGGTAGGGCATGCCTTATCAACGCAACACTACACGTTCACCATCAACAACGGTACACGACAACGACACACGATCATCAGACACAACGCGACACACTCATTCACTCGGTTGCGAACAAGGGAGGCACTAGAGTAGGGGGAGAAACCGGCAGCTGGCAACCGTCGTGACATAAACACGTACAATCCAAAACATTCACCATCCACCACGTTGCACAACAACCACACACGATCATCACTCACAACGCCACACGAAAACGCACGCACAAACTTGATGGTAGAGGGGGTCCAGAGTAGGGGGTAGGAGCAGCTTCCGCTCTCATGAGTTCGAAGTATTGCTAACCCACTTCCGTCCATGAGAGCGGCGCCCCCACCCGAGAGCGGAGGTTAGGGAACCACCAGGTTTTTTGTGGGCTCGCGATTCTTACAATACCGTGAGGCGCCGTACACGGTCTGCAACACGCATTTTTATTCCTGGCCCCGACAAAAAAAGGTTAGGTCAGTTTTTTTTTTCGTTGATAAAGGAGGTGTAGAAATGCCTGCCGCATGCCTTGGTCCCGATTTGCCATAGTATGCGATGTGGTTGGTTGGGCCCCTCAGGAGAGGGTGGGGCTCGCACCCACTGAGACTACCTCCTCCTCTCAAGTGGAACGGGGCCTGGATAACACTTGAGCGCAAGCAATTCGTCGGGTCCCCGCCAGGGATTTTGCGTTTTCCGTTTTTTAGTCCCGTTCTTTTTTTTCTCCTTTGCTGCCTTCTCCCTTGTTTCTTTTCTCTTCCGAATCGTCGTCTGGGTGTTGACGGGTTTCGGTCGGCTCGGGCGACTTCTCAACCGGTCTTCGGGCGAACCAATGCCCTGAGGGCCGGTGGTCGTCCTGGCCCTTCTCTTAGCGCTCCGGGCTGACCATTGCCCTAGGAGCCGGTGATGGCCATTTTGGCGCTAGGGCCTCCTCTCCTTGCCTGTTTTGCAGACCTTCGTGGGCTGCTCCCCGCCGTGCTTCGGACGAACCGTCGTCCTGGGCATCGGCGGTTGTTATTGCCCTTTTTACTTTGTCGGGCTTTCCGGGCTTAACCAGTCGCGGGTAGATAGTAGTTGTGGATGCTCATATCATCGTCCCCAGCGGTACCACTGCCGGTTGGCTCTCACTTATTGACGCCCTCCTGGCGGTTGACGCTACTGGAGTCTCTGTTACTGGCGCTTCTTCGCACTAGGTGGCACTGTTTAGAGTGCGTTGCCTTCCTTGTAAGGCTTCTCTCGAGTTTCGAGCTTCTAGGAGGTTGGACGTTCTCACAGTTCCTGAAGTTTTCGAGGTCTCTCAACTTGTCTTTCGGCGTGTCGGCTGCTGCCCGCACCCTGCTCTCTACCGACGCGACGGCGCCGTCTGATCTTGAGACGAGACGTATCCTCGATCTCAAGCATCCAGACAGACCCACACGCTCATCCCCGAGCTCCTCGTCCACTCGCCTCCGTTAATGAATCTATCGTCTCTGAGTCGGATGTCCGCATCGCCATCAGAAGCTTCCCCAACAGTTCCAGTGGGGGACCGGACGGTATCCGCCCCCGACACCTCAAAGACCTCATCGACAAGGACAGCGGCTCGTGCCCTCTCGTTGACGC